TTGGAAGAGCTCAAAAGGGATTTTGAGAAGCAAGTAAGAGAAGTAGAGGAAAAACTGAGAGTTTTGCAAGAAAATCATGAAAAACAAGTCAACAGCTTGCTAAAGGAGACCCCAAAAAATACTGAAGAAAATAACACCTTAAAAAATAGCCTAACCCAAATGGCAAAAGAGGTCCAAAAAGCAAATGAGGAGAAGAATGCCAGCAAAATTGGGGGCAGCTAGGTGGCGCAGTGGATAGAGCACTGGTCCTGGATTCAGGAGGACTTGAGTTCAAATCTTGCCTCAGACACATAACACTTACTAGCTGTGTGACTCTTGGCAAGTCACTTAACCCCATTGCCTAGCAAAAAAAAAAAAAGCAAAATTGGCCAAATGGAAAAGGAAGTCTAAAAGATTACTGAAGAAAATATTTCCTTAAAAATTAGAATAGAGCAATTGGAAGCTAGTGACTTTATGAGAAATCAAGATACTATAAAACAAATCCAAAAGAATGAAAAATTAGAAAACGAAGTGAAATATCTCATTGGAAAAACAACTGACTTGGAAAATAGATCCAGGAGAGAGAATTTAAAAATTATTGGACTATCTGAAAGCCATGATCAAAAAAAGAGCCTACACATCATCTTTCAAGAAATTGTCCAGGAAAACTGCCCTGATATTTTAGAACCAGAGGGCAAAATAGAAATTGAAAGAATCCACTGATCTCCTCCTGAAAGAGATCCCCAAAGGAAAACTCCTAGGAATATTGTAGCCAAATTCCAGAGTTCCCAGGTCAAGGAGAAAATATTACAAGCAGCCAGAAAGAAACAATTCAAGTATTGTGCAAACACAATCAGGATAACACAAGATTTAGCTGCTTTTATGTTAAGGGACCACAGGGCATGGAATATAATATTCCAGAGGGCAAAGGAGATAGGATTACAACCAAGAATCCCCTACCCAGCAAAACTGAGTATAATTCTCCAGGGGAAAAAATGGTCGTTCAGTGAAATAGAGGACTTTCAAGCATTCTTGATGAAAAGACCAGAGCTGAATAGAAAATTTGATTTTCAAATATAAGACTCAAGGGGAACATGAAGAGGTAAACAGGAAAGAGAAAATCATAAGAGACTTATTATGGTTGAACTGTTTACATTCCTGCATGGAAAGATGATATTTGTAACTCATGAGACCTTTGTCAGTATTAGGGTAGTTGGAGGGGAAAAAATTATATGTACCTATAGATAGATAGATAGATAGATAGATAGATAGATAGATAGATAGATAGATAGATAGATAGAGGGCACAGGGTGAGTTGAAAATGAAGGGGTCATATTTGGAGAATAAAATTAAGGGGTGAGAGACGATTATAAGGAGAAAGGGAGAGGTAGAACAGGGTAAATTGTCTCACAAAAAAACAAAACAAAACCAGAAAAGAAAAGGCTCTTACAGTGGAGGGGAAACAGGGGAAGGTGAGAGGGAATGAGTAAATCTTATTCTCATAGAATTTGACTTAAGGAGGGAATAACATACACACTCAATTGGGTATGGAAATCTGTCTTACCCTACAGGAAAATGGGTGGGGGGAAGGAGACAAGAGAGTAGGGGGATGATAGAGAGGAGGGCAAATTGGGAAAGGGGGTAATCAGAAGCAAGTACTTCTGAGGAGGGACAGCGTCAAAAGAAAGAATAGAATAAATGGGTGGACGGGATAGGATTAAGGGAAATAGAGTTAGTTTTCACAGCATGTCTACTATGGAAGTGTTTTGCATAACTGCACATATGTAACCTATATTTAGTTGCTTGCCTTATCAATGAGGGTGGGTGGGGAGAGAGGAAGGGAGAAAATTTGAAACCCAAAGTTTTAAAAACACATGTTTAAAAAGAATGTTTTCACGTGGAACTGGGAAATAAGAAATACAGGAAATGGGGTACAGAAATCCATCCTGCCATACAGGAAAATTGAAGGGGAAGGGGATAAGAGAAGGGGGGGAGAGATAGAAGGGACGGCAGACTAGGGGAAGGAGTATTCAGAATGCATGCCATCTTGGGGTGGGGGGAGGGGTGAGATGGGATGAAAATTTGGAACTCAAAATCTTGTGAAAGTAAATGTTAAAAACAAAAAAAAATAAAAATTGCCCTAAAAAAATAAAAAATAAAATATGGTGCTGATACCTAAACCAGGAAGAACAAAAAAACAGAGAAAGAAAATTATAGACTAATTTCACATGAATATTGATGCAAAAATCCTAAATAAAATACTAGCTAGGAGACTACAACAACATATCACAAAGATTGTGATCACACACATTGTGACCAAGTTGGATTTATACCAGGAATGCAGGGATGGTTTAACATAAGGAAAATGATTAACATAATTGATTATATCAATAATAAAAGTAACAAATCATGTGATTATATCAATAGGTACAAGCTTTTGACAAAATACAACATTCATTCATATTAAAAACACTTGAAAGTATGGATATAAATGGATTTTTCCTTAAAATGATAAGAAGTGTCTACCTAAAACCATTAGCAAGCATGATCTGTAGTGGGGATAAGCTGGAAGCCTTCCCAGTGAGCTCAGGAGTGAAACAAGGATGTCTGTTATAACCAGTTTTATTCAATATTGTACTGGAAACACTAGCAATAGCAATAAGAGAAGAAAAAGAAATTAAAGGAATCAGAATGGACAGTAAAGTAATAAAACTATCTCTTTTGCAGACAATATGATAGTATGCTTGGAAAATCCTAGAAATTTAACTAAAAAGCTAGTTGAAACAATAATTTTATTAAAGTAGCCGTATATAAAATAAACCCATACAAATCATCAGCATTTCTGTATATCACCAACAAGACCCTGCAGGATGACATAGTAAGAGATACTTCATTTAAAATAGACATAGTCAGTATAAAATGCCTGGGAGTATACCTGCCAAGACAAACCCAGGAAGTACATGAACATAATTATAAAACACTTTTTATACAAATAAAGTCAGATTTAAATAATTGGAAAATATTAATTGTTCATAAGTGGGCTGAGCCAATATAATTAAAATGACAATTCTACCTAATCTACTTATTCAATACCATCCCAATTAGATTTCCAAAAAATTATTTTATTGAGCTGGAAAAAAATATTAACAAAATTCATTTGGAAGGACAAAAAGGGCAAAATTATCAAAGGATTTAATGAAAAAATATGTATATATAAAGGAAGGAAATTTAGCAGTACCAGATCTTAAACTGTATTATAAGGCTGTAAGTATCAAAATTATCTGGTGCTAGCTAAGAAATAGGAAGGTGGATCAGTGGAACAGAGTAGATATACAATACATAGTAAATGATTATAGTAACCTTGTGTGAACAAATGTAAAGATTTATGCTTTGGGGATAACAATTCAGTATTTGGTAAAAATTATTGAGAAAACTAGAAAGCAGTAGAGACCAATATCTTACATTATTTACCAAGATAAAGTCAAGATGGATACATAACCTAGAAAGATATGAAGGGTGATATCATAAGTAAATTAGAAGAACATGGAATGTGTTACCTATCAGACTTATGGATAGGAGAAGAATTTATGAATAAACAAGATAGAGAGCAGAATGACATGTAAAATGGGTAATTTTGATTACGGTAAATTTCAAAGTTTTTGTACAAATAAAGCCAATGTAGCCAAGATTAGAAGGAAAACAAAATTGGGAGAAAATATGTAGAGACAGCTTCTTAGATAAAGGTCTCATATCTCAAAACTTTGTCAAATTTTTAAGAATACTAGTCATTCTCCAATTGATAAATGGTCAGAGGATATGAACAGGCAGTTTTTTGATGAAGAAATCAAAACTATATAGTCATATGAAAAAATACTTGAAATCACTATTGATTAGAGAAATGCAAATTAAAACCACTTTGAGATAATTATCTCACACTGGAAGGGATATGAAAAATTGAGATACTAATAATACACTATTGATGGAACTGTGAACTAATCCAACCATTTTGGAGAACAACCTATAATTAGGTCCCAATAGTTATAAAACTGTATATAACCTTTGATACAGCAATACCACGAGTAGATGTTTCCCAAGGTGATCAGGTTAAAAGGAAAAGAACCTATATATTCTAAAATATTTATAGCCACTGTCTTTGTGGAGGCAAAGAACTGAAAATTAAAGGGATGTCCATTAATTGGGGAATGGCAAAACAAGGTGTGGTATATGAATGTGATAGAATACTACTGTACTGTAAGAAATGATGAGCCAATTGAGTTAGGAAAACATGGAAAAATTTGCATGAAATAATGAAGAGTGAAATGAGCAGGATGAAGAAAACATTATATACAGTAGCAGCAATATTGTTCAGAGAATAGCTGTGAATAATTGTATTCTAAGTATTATAAATATTCAAATCAATTACGAAACACCTATGAAGAAAGATGCTGTCCATCTCCAGAGAAATAACTGATAAATAGAAGTATACATAGTATAGTATATATTTGTGTATGTATGTGTATATATGTACATACACACACACACATCTGTGTCAGGTGGTGGCATTCTCTAGTACAGGGTGTGGAGGGAGGGAGACAGTTCAGAACTTAAAATGTAGCAAAAAAAAAAAATATGTGAGTTGCTGAATGTCATTTTGTTAGCCATTCTGATCAAGCCTGTTTTGAAACTATTTTCAGAGGCTTCCTGAGGAAACCGAATTAAGCTTTATCCTTTCAAGAAAGTGATGGATGACTTTCAGCAAAAATCTGTCCTGAGACTATGATTACAGTGGGGTTGGGTTTTTTGTTGTTGTTTTTAGTAATATTGGACTTACCAAGAATATTACTCTTTTGTCTTCAGACAACTTTGCCAAAAACCTGGTGTGTTTTCTTTTAATGAACCTAAAACAAGCAGATTTAAAACTGTTTAACATACTTCTAATTAGCCTATTTAGCTTGTATGGTAAAGTCTTGTATTCTTTTCTCTTTCCCTTTTCTTCTAACTCTATATTCCTTTTCCATTAGGTCGAATCAAATATTCAGAGCAGATCTATGATGCGTGCATGGATACATTTGATTGTCTTCCTCTCGCTGCACTCTTAAACCAGCAGTTTCTGTGTGTCCATGGAGGACTGTCTCCAGAAATCAGTTCTCTAGATGACATTAGGAGAGTAAGTAATCATTCCTCTATCTTATCTGCTAGTCTTATCTAATAAATCATGGATGGGTAGCCATCATTTCAATTTGTGCTGATAAAGAGAGTATCCATACTGAGAGTACCAGACACTGAAATCATCACAGATCATTTGCATGTTAATTTAAGTAAGATTATTGTCATTATGTTGCTGCTATTTTACTGTTGTTATTATATCACTTATACTGTGAGGTATACAGGATGTTCAGGGAAGACTAGTACCTCTGGTATGAGGGCTGCCAAGCCCTTTTTCAGGGCTGGTTTCTACCTTTGGTGTCCACCTGCCACCCAGCTTTTACCTGTGGGTCTAAGAAACTACAGCATTCCTTCATGGCTGTTGGAACAAATTGTTCTCATCTGTCTGTTCTACTGGGGAAGTCTTCCCAGGCTTGGGGTAAATGTCTCTCTAACTCACCGATGGGCCCATCAGTTACCTTCAACCTCGTTTTGCCTATCTGCCAAAGTGGTTTTACCGGGGTATGGTCACTGCACATGCTGTAGTCTCCTGGAGCCACAAGCTGTAGCTGAGTCTCAGGGGGCTTGTGTCCTTAATGGTCTCTTCTCCCTAAATTTTTGTGAGACTGTTCTCTCTTGGTTTCCCTCCTATCTATCTGACTACTCCTTAATCTTCTTTGTTATTTTCATTCAGGGTGGCCATGGGTATCCCACAGAATTCTGTCTTAGTCTTTCTTCTCTTCCTCTATGCTATTTTTCTTAGTGATCTCATTATGGATTTAATTATCATTCTCTGTGCTGATGATTCTAAATCGATTTATCTAGCCTTAGCTTCTCTATTGACCTCCTCTGTTGACTTTTCTATTGATCTCCTCTAGTAGGCATCTCCAGTTAGCCGGTAGACATCTTAAACTCAGCCTATCCAAAACTGAACTCATTATCTTTCCTCCCAAGCCCTCCCATCTTCCTAATTTCCCTTATACTTTCAGGGCATCACCATCCTCCCAGTCACACAGGCTCAAAACCTAGGTGTCATCCTTTTACCCACCCATTCCCATATCCAGTCTGTTGCTAAGGCCTATCAGTGTTACCTTTTTAACATATCTTGTAATATGCCTCCTTCTCTTCTCTGACACTGCCCCCACCCTAGTGAAGGCCCTCATCACCTCATGCCAGGACTGTTGCAGTAGTCTGCTAGTTGGCCTCCCTGCTACTCCCCCACTTCCTATACTAGTCCATCCTCCATTCACCTGCCAAAGTTGTTTTTTCTAAAGCACAAGTCTAACCACGTTACCAACTCAATAAACTCCAGTGGCTGCCTACCACATATAAAATCCTCTGCTTGGTATTGAAAGTCCTTCATAACCTCTGTCACACACCCCTCTTTCCAGTCTTTTTATACCTTGCACTCTTCCCCCCCATGTATTCTCTGATTCCATCTCACTGGCTTCCTTCCTCTAAAAAAACACTCCATCTCCAGACTCTGGGTATTTTTATTGGCAGTCCTGCGTGCCTGGAATTCTCTCCTTCTTCATTTCCTCCTTGTGGTTTCCCTGGCTTCCTTTGAGTCCTAGCTAAATCTCACCTTCCACAGAAAGTCTTTCCCATCCCTTAATTCTAGGGCCTTCCTTCCATTGATTATTTCTGTTTTATTGATAAAAAGCTCGTTTGTACATAGTTTTTTGTGTGTTGTCACCTCCATTAGAATGTGAGTTCTTTAGGGCAGGCACTGGCTTTTGCCTTTCTTTGTATCCCCAGCACTTAGCACGGTGCTTAGCACGTAGAAGGGCTTAAACATTTATTAACTGATTGACTAATGAGCCCTATAGTGCTTAGGGTCCCATGAAAGGGGAGGGACTGGGATGTTAGAGGGAATATGCCTCTTATGCCTTAGTTTTCTCACCTACAGGTGAGTGATGGAGATTAGACTGTTATAACTAAAACAGCAGTCACCAAAAAAACCCTAAGTTGCTGCAACTTGCATTAAAATATCTCATCTAAGTAAAGAGAAAACTCCGTGCACCCAGCTTTTATCAAATGGAATAAAAAGAAGGATCAGGAGGGAATAACCATGAAAGATAATAGATGTGGATTATTATGTGCCCGTAGAAAATTGCAATTTCATCATCCTTAATAAGAAAACAGAGCTAGCTTTCATTTTTTTGTGCTCTTTTTACATGTGAACTTTGTTGGAAGTTGCTATTTACTTTTCTTACACTAAATAAGGGAAAGTAGAATAATTGCTTGACCTCAAAATACCGAAAATCATTCTGTTTTCATGGTTTTCTTTGCCTTTTATGTGCCTTCTAGTTAGACAGGTTTAGGGAACCTCCAGCTTTTGGACCAATGTGTGACCTGCTTTGGTCTGATCCCTTGGAGGAGTATGGCAGTGAGAAGACCATGGAGCACTTTAGCCACAACACTGTCCGAGGGTGCTCCTTCTTTTACAGGTAAACATTTTTTAAGTTACAAAGTAGGGTTGGTAAGCCAGAATGATTTTTGTATTCAGGTTTTGTAAAAAGTAAATTAAGTCTAGTAAAACAGATTCATTTTCACATTTAATATATTACATTTAATATACTATGTTATTTAGAGTTTAAGTTGTCAACCTTAACCATAAGTCAACTTCTCTTTTTCCTTTTTTCTAAACTCTTCTAAAGTAGTTTTCTGGTTAACTGAGCGTTATCCAGATAACTCTTGTTTCAGCTTCTTGTCTGAGTATGATAGGTTGAATCTAATTGAGAATCCTTTGTTGTCTCATGACAATCCAAATCCGTGATTATTTTCTGGTACTGTAGATACAGGTATGGGGGGGTTAGTTAGATATTTATTAAACTCAGAACATCTGGAGTTATAATTATTGGTGGTTTTCCCTAAATCTATGGTTTAATCATAGTTGTTTGGTATTGTTGTCTTGGAAAAAAACAGTGGAAAAGGTAGCATGGAATTTAAAAAACAAAAAATAACCTAAAATTATATTCAACTCAGTAATGCACATCTTAATCAAATTCTCTAGTCTTTATATAATTAGGCCAGAATGAAACATTGGTAAAAATGTGCAGATAAGCCAGAAGCTTAATTTTAAGTAACACTTTGAACATTATTCTCCCTTTTTTTTTTAAAGAATCAGGATTTATTTTTTTGTTAATTTATTTATTTTGGTTTTCAACATTCACATCCATAATATTTTGAGTTCCAAATTTTCTCCCCATCTCTCCCCTCCCACCCCAAGATGGTGTGCAATTTGATATAGGCTCTACACATACATTCATATTGAACCTATTTTCACATTAGTCATGTTGTAAAGAAGAATTAGAACCAATGGGAGAAACCACGAGAAAGAAGAAACAAACAAACAAAAAAAGAGAGCGCAAATAATATGCTTTGATCTGTATTCAGAGTCCATAGTTCTTTTTCTGGATGTGGACACCATTTTTCATCATGAGTCCTTTGGAGTTGTCTTGGGTCCTTGCATTGCTGAGAAGAGATGAGTATATCAAAGTTAGTCATCACACACTGTGGCTGTTACTGTATGCAGTGTTCTCCTGGTTCTGCTCACTTCACTCAGAATCAGTTCATTCAAGTCTTTCCAGGTTGTTCTGAAGTCTGCCTGTTCATCATTTCTGATAGTACAATAATATTCCATTACATTCATATACCACAACTTGTTCAGCCATTCCCCAGCTGATGAGCATCTCTTCAATTTCCAATTCTTTGCCACCACAAAAAGGGCTGCTATAAATATTTTTGTACATGTGGGTCCTTTTCCCGTTTTTATGATCTCTTTGGGATATAGCACTAGAAGTGGTATTTCTGGGTCAAGGGTATGCACAAATTTACAGCCCTTTGGACATACCAACAACCTTTTTTTTACTGGTTGCTTATAAATGACAAAATGGAATTATTTCCATTTTCTTTGGTTGATTTCCACTTTCTTTCTCCACACCGTGCTCTTATCTAGTGAAAATGCTAACATTGCCCAAAGGCTGAGCAACATGAAGACAACTAAAAAAAAAAAAGATTTACCCACTAAATAATTAAACCCCAAGTAACCTCAGATTGATTGTATTTCTGCTCTGCTTCTCAAGCCCCAGTTATTTCTCCTAGAAAAATTATGCCCTTCAGAAGGATGGTATCAGCTTTTTTTATGTTTGTTCCTAGAGTACACAGCTTTAAAGGCCATGTTCTGGTGCTGCTACTTGCCACGTGGTTTTTTAGGTGGTTCTTTTATTTTTTAGTCTTTTGATCTTTACTGTTTTAGCAGAATAAAAATTAACTTTGCAAGGTTATTGTGAGAAAAATGATCTGTAAACTTTAGGGTGCTAAATAAATATGAAGACTTGTTATTCAGTTTAAGTATTTATCCATTGACATGCTCCTGTTTAAGCACTGTGCTATCTGTGGTGTATGGGTCTTAAATACGTCCAGATCCATCATGCCTACTATATATAAGCGTTGGAAATAGAAAAATAAAATGACACAATCTCTGCCCTTAGAGTATTTGCAGTATAGTAGAGGAGAAGACATAAATAATTGTAAGGCAGAATCTTGTAAGTGCAGAGGATTAGAGAGACATAATATAGGTAAGAGAGAAAGATCATTTCTTGTGGTAGAGGTGGGGGTATGAGAAAAAAGTAAGGAGGAAATTGGCATGAAAGTCAGGTTCAAGGCATTTGTGTGCCCTAGGAAAGGCTTGAAAACCATACCTCTCGGGGTCTGGAAAATTAATTTATCATTATACATTTATACATATACATATACATATACATATACACAAACATATTGGTGAGTAGTCTTCTGGTATCAGATGTTTGTACATTTATAAAAAGTTTTATTAAGAATTGTCTCACATCATATCTCCCCAAGTAACCTAATTGATTTGTCTCTGGCACCTGAGCTGGATCTGGGAGCAAAGGAAGAACTTCAACCCATGTTGATATGGACGGAGCCTTTTCACAAATGCAAATTGCTGGGAGAAGACTAAACAAACAATTAATAAACATACAGCACTATTTTAGATAACAGAGATAGAGAAGAAAATATGAAATAATCTCTGCTGTCAAAGAGGTTATGTTTGAACAAGACAGCATTAATAAATAGAAGCAAAATACTGATAATGAAGTAAATACAGTCTTCTTGTACCTTATTTCCCTCCACATACTCTGCCATTCACTGACACTGGCCTCCTGATTGTTCATTGCACAAGACAATGCTTCTCTCAACTCCAAACATTTTTTCTGGCTCTCCCCCAGGGCCTGACATTCTCTCCATCTTCATCTGTTTCCTCACTTCCCTGATTTTTTTAAGTCCCAGCTAAAATCCCATCTTCTGCAAGAAGTCTTTTTGAATCCCACTTAATAATAGTGCCTTCCCTCTATTGATTATCTCCAGTTTATCCTTTGTATATCTTATTTGCCTATTCTCTCCACCAATAGACCATGAGCTTTTAGAGAGTGGGGACTGTTTGGAGGTGTAGTTTTTGGTTTGTTTTTTCCTTTTCTTTATATCCCCAGCACTTAGTAAGTTGCCTAGCACGTATTAGGCTTATTGACTGACTACAAATTTCTGGTTCATATAGATACATGAAATGTCCTACAAATCTCCCACTTTTACTTCAGCAGTGATCTTAAAAAGAACACAAAATTGAACAGTGACCAAGAATCCACTAAGCTCCTTCATCCAGTTCAAGTTTGAAGACAAAAGACAGCCAGAAGCTGTGAATACTGGATGAGAGGTCCTGCCAGAGAACCTAGCATGAGTGCAGGTAAACAGGGGAGTTCCCATGAGGGATTGAAGAGAATTGCAACATCCTGAGTAGGGAAACCCCAGCAGGGACAGAAAACTGCAGAAGCATCCTGACTGGAAACAACCAAACACAGAGGTCTGAGCACATACACCTGGGGAAATGGAAGCTGATGGCAGGAATCCAAGAAAACATGGCCATGATCAAAAAGGGCCTGTCCACCCCATTCAGTAATACGTGAATGAGTAGAGCTTAGTCTTTACACAAAGACCCAAATCAGGAACTGAATTTGAAACATGAATAAACAAAAGATGACACAGAACACTATCGAATATTATGAGTCAGTGACCCAGAGATAAACCTGCAGAAAGAAAACAATTCCATAACAACTACATGTGGAATCTCAGGGGGAAAAATGACTTTAACACAAGAACTATAGAAGTACCTGGAAGATATAAATCAAGAGATTTTTTAAGTGGAATTATAGGTGAAGTAAGAGTTTTGGACAAAAGAATTAGAAGGAAAATAAATAGTTTAGAACAGAAAGTAGAAAAACCTTACCCAGGGGCAGCTAGGTGGCACAGTGGATAGAGCACCTGTCCTGGAGTCAGGAGGACCTGAGTTCAAATCTGGCCTCAGACACATAACACTTACTAGCTGTGCAACTCTGGGCAAATCACTTAACCTCAATTGCCTCACCAAAAAAAAAGAAAGAAAAAGAAAAACCTTACCCAAGTATCAGAGACTGCCTGAAATTTTGAATGGATCAAACAAAACTGAATGACTTCAGGAGAAAAGAGATATTAAAACAATATTAATATTGGAAAAAAAAACAACTACAAGAAAATACAATGTATCTGCTATCAAAAAGTATTAACCTATAAAACAATTCAAGGAGAGACGATTTAAGAATCATCTATGCAAACCACAACTTAACCTTCCTCTTTCCTACCCTGAGCTCCAACAGTCCTTCTTCCCAAAAATAGATCTGCATCTCACATTTTCAGAAATCATAAATAAATACTGCACAGATTCTGTGAAAATCAGTGGGCAGAATGAAAACAGAAAGAATCCACTGGCCACCTTCTGAAGGAATCTCCAAAATGAAAACACCCCAAAATGTCGTAACAAAAATCCAGACTTATAGGTCAAAGAAAAAGTACTGTAAGCAGTTAGAAAGAAAGCTTATGTACTAAGGAACTATAGGCAAGATCCCATAAAACCCAACAAATTGCTAAAGGCATGAAAATCTTGTAATGTGATACTTGAAAAGGCAAAAAATAAAAGTTAAGAACCAAAAATAACTTATCCTGCAAGACTGAGTACGATCCTGGAGGGAGAAAAAAACCCAGATCATTAATGAAATAGATGACATTTAAGCATACCTGATGAAAAGAACAGAGCTGAGTGGAAGTTTCAGGTGTAAATATAAAAGTCAAGAGAAACATAGCAAAATAAATACATTTGAGCAATTTGAAGGGACCAAATAATGATAGTAAGTCCTTCTAATGGTGGAAGAAAGATGTGTGTCCCTTCAGAATCCTAATGACTTCAAGGGTCATAAAGGGAATTGAATAAGATAAACAGAGGGACTAGGGACGGTTTGTTTCTGTTTTCTTCGTCTTAAAAGAGGAAAGAAAAGGTAATGTGCTAGAAAAGAAACGAAGGAGAAATGGGCAGAACTTATTTATCATAATTGGAACATGAGATGAAAAGTGTACAAAAATGGAGGAAAGATGGAGGATTAGGTGTCATATGAACATAACTCATCTTAACCAAACAAAGGACAATTAAATAATAATAAAATGCCTTTGAGGAAAGGATTCAAACTTGAATGGTGACTAAATAACTTAATTTTAAAGAATTGGTGAGTCAAAGAACAAATCATAGAAAAAATAGATCATTTCTTCAAAGAAAATGACAAGAAGGAAAAGTATACCAGAACTTTTAGAATGCTGCCAAAGCATTTCTTAGGGGAAATTTTATGTATTTAAATACTGCTTTCATCAACAAAAGAATAGTTCAGTAAATTAAAGAACAGATAAAAAAATGAAGGCAAAAACCAGTTGATTTGATAAATGCAACAAAGGAGCTGGATTTGTTTTTGAGAAACTAATGAAATAGATCAATCAATAAATATTTATTAATGTTCATTATTATTATTTGTTATTATTAAATGCCTTCTTTGTGGCAGGCACTGTGCTAAGTGCTAAAAGAATAGATGAATCATTAATCAGTCTGATTGAGGAAAAAGAAAGAGGAAAACCAAATTGCCAGTATTAAAAATGAAAAAGGATGGGCAGCTAGGTGGCACAGTGGATAGAGCACCAGCCCTGAAGTCAGGAGGACCTAAGTTCAAATCTGGCCTCAGACCAAACACCTGACACTTTCTAGCTGTGTGACCCTAGGTAAGTCACTTAACCCCAATTGCCCCCCCCCCAAAAAAAACCAAAGAGTTCACAACACTTAAGTAAAGGGAATAAACTATTTTGTCCAGTTTTGACTAACAAATTTAATAAATTCAATGAAATAGACATTTACAAACATAAAATACTCAGATTGACAGAATGAGAAATAGAAAAAAATTAAGCCATAAGTGAACTCCAAGGGGAAAAAAAGCCCAGGTCTAGATGGATTTATAAGTGAATTATATTTTTTTTAAAAAGTGTATCAATATCAAACATTCAAAGGACAAATAATTCCAGTGCTGGGTAAGCTGTTTGCAGAAATAGAAAAAGAAGAAATTTTATCAAACTCCTTTTATGTTGCAGGTATATAATCCTGATATCCAAACTAGGGGAAACAAAAAGAGAAAAGTATAAATCAGTATCCCTAGTGAATATTGATACAAAAATAATGATTAACGTATTAGCAAAGAAGCCACAATAAAATACTAAAAACAGTTTTATCCTATGACCAGGTTTTTATACCAAGAATGTATGGTTCACTATTAAGAGAGGATAAATATAATACACCATGTAAATAGTGAAAACAATATGAATCATGATTATATCAGTAAATAGAGAAAAATGTTTTTTTCGCAAAATATGATACCCATTTCCATTAAAAATCATAGGAATGAATGGACCTTTCCTTGATACAATAAGTTGTTGTTGAATTATTTCAATCATTTCCAACTCTTCGTGATCCCATTTAGAGTTTTCTTAGCAAAGTTACTGGAATGGTTTGCCATTTCTTTCTCCAGCTCACTTTACAGATGAAGAAACTGAGGCAGACAGAGGCTAATTGACTTGCTCATGGTCACACAGCTATTAAGTATCTGAGGCTAGATTTGAACTCAGCTCTCCAGGCCCAGTGCTCTATCTGCTGCACCATCTAGCTGCCCATGATGCTATAAGTATTATCTATCTAAATAAAACCTAGAGTCAGCATTATTTGTAATTGTGAAATACTAGAGACCTTTCCAGTAAATATGAGGGTAAAGCAAGAATGCCCATTATCATTTGATATGATGCTCGAAATATTAGCTAAAGAAATAAGACAAAAAGAAATTAAGGGAGTAAGCAAAAAACAAAACAATTAACACTTTTTGCAGGTGATACAATGGCCTAGCCTAGTTAAAGAACTCAAGATTCAATTAAAAAATTAACAAAATAACAAGATATAAACCTACACATACTTTTAAAAAATTAGAACAGATTATATATCTCTCATAGCTATGAGATAGAACAAGAGATGGAAGCAATTATAAAAGATAAAATAGATCATTTTGCTTACATGAAACTGGAAAGCTTCTGCACAGAAAAAATTAACGCACTTAAGATAAGAAGGGAGGCTGCCAAATGGGGGAGAAAATCTTTATCATATTTTTCTGATAAGAGTTTGGTATCCAAGATACATAAAAAATAAATACATATGACTAACCAGCCATTCCCCAGTAGATATATGGTCAAAGGATATGAACAAATAATTCTTAACAAAAGAACTGCAAAGTATTCACACCACATGAAAGAATGCTCCAAAACACTAATAATAGAAATACAAGTCAAAACAACCTTGAAACTTCATCTCACAACTCTGCAAACTGGAAAAGATGACAAAAAATGGTATTAGTCAATGTTGGAAGGGTTGTGGAATGATCAGCACATTAATAATGCATTGTTGATAGAGCTGTGAAATGGTACAGCCATTTTGGAAAGCAACTTGGAATTATGGAAATAAAGTGACTAAAAAGTTAAGAAGCCTTGAACCAGAGGCTCCCATTATTGAGCTTATATACCCCTAAGAAAATCCCCATATATGCCAAAAATATTTATATCGGCACTTTTTATGATAGCATAAAATTGGAAACAAAGTAAAGGCCCATCAATTGGGGAATGACTAAACAAATTGTGGTATGTTAATGTAATGGAGTGTTACTGTGCTGTAAGAAATTATGTGTATGATAAATATAGAAAAACATGGAAAAATCTACATGAACTAATACGGAGTGAAATAAGCAGAGCCAAGAAAACAATCTGCACAATAACTACAACAATGTACATAGAAAGAACAATGACACAACAAAAATCAGAAGTGATTATTAACAAAATTATCAAGATCAAGCAGTACTTAAAAGAAGAGATTTGAGAAGATACCTCCAATTATTTCTTCATGGAGGTGGTTAGGTCCATAGGTGTTACACATTGAACATATTTTTCAATATATTGATCAGTTGTGCTGTTTTTTATTTTTCTTTTTAAAAGTAAAAGGAACACATAAATTTATAGCCTATATAGTACCAGCAAAACTCAACAGAAAGAGATAGGAATGGAAATTGTATTTAAAAATTCAATAGAATGTATTATGAAGACTTAAGAAAAATCATTAAATTTGTCATTGAAGAGATCATTAGTGACTTTGGAAAGGGCAGTTTGAGTTAACTGATGTAGTCTGAAGTCAGATTGCAGAGTTTTAAGGAGTTAGTGAGAGAAGAGAAAAGGGGACTGCAGATGGATATTGTAAAGTTTTTTTTTCCTTTTTTAAAAAATGGAAGAACATAACAAACCCTCCTAATTTATATATTTTCTTTGGAATGATCATACCAAATGGCCAAAATATAAATTGATTACATACAAAGATCTTGTTGAAGTTCTACAACTCTTAGTTCATTAGATATTTAAAATCAAAACAGATTGACTTAATCTCTGTGGACCTCAGTATAAAATGAAATAATTTTTTTAAAGTATGGCAGATGATGAGATTTTTCTTGCTTGGCTATGTATATTATAAAGGTTTTTCCCCTGGGGGGAAGAAAATTGATTTTTGTTCATTGAAAAAAAATAAGTTTAAAAAAATAAAATTAAGAGGCTGGATTAGATAGCCTTTAAGATCCCTTATGCTTCTAAATCTATGCTATGATTTTTATTCCATCCCACCTTACCCTGAAAAGAATTGTTTTAGCTCAGAATTAACATATTTTCTAAAAACTTTTTTTTTCTAGTTATCCTGCAGTTTGTGACTTTTTGCAAAGCAATAGTTTGTTATCAATAATCAGAGCCCATGAAGCTCAGGATTCCGGGTAAGTGATACTAGAACTGCATCAAGTGTCACTGGAGAGTTTTTCCTTTTCACAACAGGACAGACAAGCTGTCATTTCTTTTCCAGGTATCGAATGTATAGGAAGAGCCAGACAACAGGCTTTCCATCACTCATTACAATTTTCTCTGCCCCAAATTACCTAGATGTCTATAACAACAAAGGTAAAGGACTATGACAGGGTTTGGATTTGAGTTTGATCGGTAAATGTGAATTTAATTTAATGTGGGAATATGGGAATAACCTATTCCAGGGATCTAGGGTGATGTTAATAACTCGGCTGTGTTTCAGTACCCTCAGAATAGCTGGGCTGGAACCTCAGGACAGGACATAAGTAATGAAAGTAGATCTCATTTGTGTTCCAGAGGCAAAATGCAAGAAGAATATGTGACTTGGATTTAGAAAGCTTAGTGTTACATGTCTTTGTGCTTGTTGGCTCTCTCAGATTGCTCAGCATAATTTATTATTTTCAGTCTAATGTCATCTATTTTTAAAGCATTACCTCAGAATAAGTCATCTCTTAGTTTTTTAATACTTCTGAATTGCCGAGTTCTTGCTGTTTTGAAGTTTCCAGAAGTGGCATTGTATAGGTACTGTTATGCTCATATCAGTTCTAGTCCCAGCTACATCACTAGCTGGCTGTGTGACCTTGGGAAGGCCTTTATTTTCTTCATCTCTAAAAATACAGGGTTTGAACTGGGTGATCTGGGAGATCCATTCCCCTCTGAAAATCCTGTAATTCTGAATTTCACATTTGTTTTATCAGGATAAGGATAGCTACAGTGGGTAGAGTAGCAGGGGCCTGGAGTCAGGAAGACTCATCTTCCTGAATTCAAATCTGGCCTCAGATGTTTGCTACCTGTGTGACCCTGGGCAAGTCACTTCACCCTGTTTGCCTCAGTTTCCTCATCTGTAAAAGGAGCTGGAAAAGAAAATGTGAAACCACTCCATTATCTTAGAAAGAAGACCCCAAATGGGACCAGAAAGAGTCAGACATGACTGAACAGCAAACCTTATCAGGACAAATGACATCTTGGTATAGTGGATAGAAGTTGGTCTTGAAGAGATTAGATTAAATCAGATCTAGGTTCAAGTTCAAGTCTGACACTTACTGGGTATGTGGCCTTTGGCGAGGCTCTCAATCTCTCAAAGCCTTGAACAACTTTCCTAATTGTGGAAACTGTAGAGAAGGTGCCAATCTGCTTTAGTAAAGGGAATTCCCTCATCCAGGCATTCCTGCATCGGTGAAATCAAAAGTCCTTCTCTCTTCTTGTTCTATCTCTTTCAGGGCAGGGACTCCTCCTCTGAGCTCTAGATTTTTCTGAGCACTTCAGTTGTGTACTAAGTCATCTATTTCTTAAAATAACAAATAGACCAGAACTTCCACATAAGTGTTGTTTTCTTCAAAATTGTCAAATTAGGAAGTTACACACTTGAGCAATGCTGTCATTGCTCAAAACATTTCTGGAATTGCCCTTAAGGCCTTGAACACATTCTTTTGAATATCCTCAGTTCTGGGAAATTTTCCTCCTTTGAGGATGGATTTGATTTTTGGAAATAGAAGTTATTCATAGGCAAGTCTGGTGAATAAGCCAAAGAGTTCAGTTTGAAAATACAGATCAAAAACGAAGTTTAACTTTAAAGCAGTGAAACTGATTTTCTTGTTTTTTTTTTTTTTAACTGACTTTTGAGAAGTTTCCAGAAATTATTTGAGCAGTGCAGCATTGTTGGAATAAATGTATAGAAAAGTATAATGGTATCATGGACTGAGCATTAGTTTAGAAGCTAGAAGTCTGGGTTACAAATTTAGGCTGGGTTCTGCCAATTATTCATGTGACTTAAAGCATATATTTTTGTCTGTTTTGAACCTTAGTTCTTCCATCTTTACTTAACCCTTGCCAAAAACACTTTATCCCTGGCCATCCTTTCCAGTGCTGGGGGGGATCCTTCTTTACCCAGCCTTTGTTTCCATTTAAAAATGGAAACAAAGTTCAAATCAAAGGTAGCAAAAGCAAGATTAACACCGCCAATTTACTCTAGCTGACAGTTAATGCCCAGAATGATTATTTGATGTGGTTGTGCACAAATAGGATCTAGCTTGCATCTGCCTGGAATGAATGCTTACTTATCTGCCTTGATTCCTTTTCATTTATTGCCTCTTTCTTCCTTCATTTATCTATAGCATTCAGTTCAAATCTTTGTCACAGTCTTCTTCTGGCCTCTAGGTTGTTTCTCCTTCTATTATCAAAGAAGTCAGTGTTTGCCCAGCCCGTTGAGATTTAATAACCTAAATTAATGGTAGGCCTATTTAGAAGTTCCAAGACCTTTTTTAGTGTGGCATTCAGCCGCAAAAATTAAGTCAAAATGGAGAAGGAAAGTGGCAAGGGTAACGAGGTTGTACTTGACAAGTACAGAACAGTGGTGGGAAAAGAGGGCAGAAAATTAAAGGATAAATGATGGCATATAATTGAGCTAGTCAACCATAAAATTCAGACTGGAAAGGGAGAAGAGTGATGAGGCCAGAGTAGGGTAACTACTGACTGATAAGACAGAAAGAGAGAGAGAGACTGGAGGTAATAGCCATGAGGAGGAAGAGTAAGTTTAGGAGGAATAAAGTGGAGGGGCAAATGGAAGATAGAGGTATGAACAGAGAGAGGAATTTTAGAGTTCTGGTTTATAAAGGTCATAGAGTTAGGGTTGAGATCTAAGATTAATCATCCTAGTAGGTAGCTGAAGTGGAATGAAGATCTTGGTAATAGGAGTTAAGGAGGTGGTTGAATTGACAGGCCAGATTATTTAAGGCTTGTCCACCTTAATCCTTGGCCTCAAGCTAAAGTCTTCAATTCCCACAAAATGACTTCAATTGGCTAAATCTAATATCCATTTCTCAGTCTTCATCTTGCTTGATTTATCTGCAAGGTTTTACAAAGTCCACTTCCTTTTTCCTGATGGACATTTCTAGCTAGATGTCTACAAGCATCTTACATTCATTATGTCTCAAATAGAACTTTGCATATTTTCTCTAAACCTGTCCTTCTTCCAAACTTCCCCATTTCTATTGATCGCGCCACCATCCTTTGAGCCGTTCTTTGTTCTTCCCTGCCCCTGACCAGCATTCCCTTTTCTCTACTTACATAGCTTCTACCCTAACATCACTCCTGGCCTAGGTTATCAAAGTAGCCTCCTAGTTGGTCTCTTTCTTCAGTGTCTTCCATCCAGCTGTCAAATTGATATGTGTGGAACGCAGATCTGACCATCTCATGTCCCAAATCAGAAATCTTTAGTGACTAGTCTAGGATAACCTCTCAGGGTCCCATAACCTAGCTCCAACCTAGTCCTTCTCTCCTCCTCCCCAGTCATGTACTCTGTGTACCAATCAAGCTGACCTACTAGCTGTTCCCTATATGGGCCATTCTATCTCCACTCATTTGGTCCTGCAGACCTGGAACATGCTTCTTTTTCACTTCCACCTTTTAGAATCTTTGGCTTTCTTTAAAGCACAATTCTTTACCTTTCTCTTCTCCAACCCTGTAATTAGTATTCTCTCCTTCCTGAAATTATTGATCTGTGTATGTGTCTCTTTATTTTAAGCTACCTAAAGGGAGGGATTGTTTGGTTTTTGCCTTTGTAATTCCAGCACCTAACACAGTGCTCACACACAGTAAGTGCTCAATAAATGTAGTTAGAATTTAATTCCATGTTACTGTTCTCTACTATTTCTTTTATTTTTCTGGCTGTTCCTTCTCAGTTTGTTTTGCTGGATCATCTTTCATCTTCAGCCACCAAGCTATAAGTGGCCCCCAAAGTTTTGTCTCTAGCACAGTTTTCCAAGCTGGAGATGGGGAAGTCTGAGACCCTCTAGGCCATGGTACTGAGCATCTTCAAGTACAGTTCCCACATGACCACACCTTTAAAAATGGAAACAAAGTTCAAATCAAAGGTAGCAAAAGCAAGATTAACACCGCCAATTTACTCTAGCTGACAGTTAATGCCCAGAATGATTATTTGATGTGGTTGTGCACAAATAGGATCTAGCTTGCATCTGCCCGGAATGAATGCTTACTTGGGCATATCCTCCATCGTCACTGTCAGTCTTTGTAAATTGTTTTATGGGAAGTAGAGGACTGAGCTACTAGAATTGTTTTTGTAAAAAGGAGGAGTATCACTGTGAAATTTAGAAATCTGTGCCCTGTAGTCTCTCTTGGTGATCACATCAGGTTCCAGCAGTTTAGTCATTGTTTTTGGGGAGATAAACTCTCAAATTTGTATAATCCTAATCTCGCTCCTGAATCCTAACCACATATTCCTGCTGTCCTTCTCCTCCTGGATGTCTTATTGATATCACAGACTCAACACATCCAATTCATTCTCTTCTCTCCACAAACTTCTTTTGAAAGCTTCACTATCCTCGCACTCAGGTCCACAGCCTTGGAGTTTTCCTTGACTTCCATTTCCAGTCTCTTGCCAGCTGCAATCAATTCTACCTCCACAGGTAGAATTTCCACATAGCCACTTCCCCTTGTTTGCCCCCCCCAATCACCTCTCATTTACAGTACTGTAACAGCTTATTCTTTGGTCTCTCTGTTCTTATTCCATCTTCCACATAGCTACCAAATTAATATTTTTAAAATAGAAATCATAACTGAGTTATTAGTCCCTACCTCTTTCATGGCTCTATATTACCTCCAGGATAAAATGCAAACTCATCAGCCTGGTATTTAAATAGCTTTACCAGTCTGGCTTTTCACATATCTTCCCAGACTTACTTCATATTACTCTCCTTCACACATTTTGCATTACAGCCAAACTGGTTTACCAGCTTTTCAATCAGTCAGTTTTTATTAAGGGCCTACTATGTTCCATAATTTATTAAGCATTTTGTATGTGCAAAGCACTGTGCTAAGTGCTGAGTATGCCAGTAGAAAAGTGAAATAGTCCATGTTCTCAAGAAACTTAAACTCTAATTGAGGGAAACTATACATATAAAAAGGTTAAGCTGTAGAGTGATAAAAAGGCCCAGGGTTGTCCTAAGTGGGCAGCAGATCTAAAGCTCATTTCATGTGCCATTTCTAAGTTGAGACCTTGAGGCCTTTCCTCACCTCTCTGTCTCCGTGTACGTGTGTCTGTCTGTGTCTCTTGCTTCTTCTCCATATCTGTCTTTCATACACACGCAAGAAGGTGTGCACACTTTCTCCTCAAATTAGTTTCTATTTCCTTAATGGTAATAACTAACATTTATGTGATTCTTTATATGATCTCACTTAATTCTCCAAAGCATCGAGGGTAAGTGCTGTAGATATTATTTCTATTTTATAGATTTGCCCAGACACATCATCATATTCCATCCCTCCAGTAGAATGTAAGTTTCTTGAGGACATGGGAACTTTTTTTCCTTTTTATCCTCAGTGCCTAACATAATGCCTTGAACATAATAGGTGCTTTATAAAATGTCTGTTGAATTGTGTTGAGTAAAGTAGTATCTATAATTACTATTTTTAAAAGGCAATATTCATTTAGATTTGTGGGTTTTTTCCAGCCTGGTCTCATTTTTAATCACCTCTCATTTGCCAGTGGGAGAAGTCGATTTTTCTTTTCATGGAAGTAAATTGAGCATAGGAACTTTTCAAACTTAATTCTTTGATATTGAGCCACGTATATAACTTACTTAGTTAAGTACTAGAACACTTTTTTGAAAGGAGCTCCTATTTCTTCAATGACTCACTATCTCACAGTCTTTGCTGGGCTTTTAAAAAATTATCAATCATTGAAAGAAGTATAATCACTTTATAAAGGTTGGAAAGAGGCAACATGTTACAGTAGTGTCTAGAAAACTGACCTCAGAATCAGAAATAGCTGGGTTCAAGTCCCACCTTTGATATGCTGGCTTTGTGATCCTGAGCAGGTGGCTTAACCACTCAGGGCCTCAGAGGCTTTCTGAGATTGTAAGATGCAAATCTACATTGGTAGGGGAGTTTTTCACCAGGAGCTCCCTTTGTAGATGAAATCCCAGATCTTTATCCAAAATAAATAAATATACAAATATATAAAATGTATAAATAATTCTGTATTAGAAGTTTGGGGCCAGTGCATAGGGGCTTTAAGTGACAAGTAGAGAAGTTTGTATTTTATCATTCACTTGCTGCTCACTTGATTCAGCACTAAATAGCACACTGTCTCTGCCTACTCTCGTTGCTCACAGTCCAACCTCTCAGGTCTACTTTTGCTGCGTGTGTTTGATATTCCTGTCATCAAGCAGTCTGTTCCGGGGACTCTGGTAAACTCCTTAAGACAGTTTTTCCACTTGACCTTTCCATCACCATCCTTATTCAGTAAATGCTTTCTATTTTTCTTTGCTGCTTCATAAGCATCTCTTAGGAAAAGCTGAGTGGACACTAAAACACTGGTTGGTAGCATTCTCCCACTTCCCCCTAAGCATTTCCTTCTGTCTCTTCCAACTTTTCTTCTCCCTGTTTTCCTCTTCCTCAGACTATTCCTTAAGCCTGACAATGGAATATACACATTTATTTTTAGTCCCACTGGTTGCCCTTTGAAAGCTAATATTGTTGTCAACCCCTGTTTTAATGGTTACTTTTCTATATCCTTCCCTGATTTGTTATACCAAATGTACACCAAGGCTTTCTTGCTGCTTCTCTCAGCATTTTCCCATTATAGTCCTCTGTTCCCGTGGCCCAGTTCCCAGATTTGTCTCCTATATAGCTTAAGGGTGCATGCCCTATGTGAAATATTTTTTAAAAATAATCATGCATATTATAAGGTGAGAGCATTGTTGAAGTGTAAAAAGGATAAATTAAATTATTTTAAGTTAAAATTTTCTTGTATAAATAAAACCTATATAGCCAAGAATAGAAGGAATGCAGAAAATTGGGGGGGGACTTTCATAGACAGACTCCCAGAGGATGTGATTGGGTTGGAATATTGCTGTGATGTAGGAATTGGTGAGCTGGTTGATTTAGAAAAACATGGAAAGACTTGGATTTATGAAGGAAGATGCTGTCCACCTTCAGAGAAACAGATGATAGGAGGAAATAAACATAGTATACTCTTACATATATATGTATGAGTATATATATGTGTATTTATACATATCTGTGTATATATATTCATGCTTAATTGTAGCCTTCTTGGGGGGGGTGGGAAAGGGAAGGAAAAAATAAAGTAAAAAGTACACAGCAGAAAACAAAAGAAAAACAATAGGGAAGCAAAAAAAGCTGAGCAACTTTGAAAACAATGTATAGTATTTATTATATAGGTTTTTTTGAAATGGATATTTATTGTTTTGTATTGAATCCTCTCTTATGATCTACTGTGTACATGGCAATTTTTTTTCTCATTTTGTATCTAAGTTTAAAATAAAAAAATTTACCAAGAAAAATCATGCATAAAAAGAATGGGAAATATTCTCTACAATGCCTAATATTGCACATGTACTCATTAATGCTTAAATATTGAGGTTACTATGTCACTAGGAGTAATTTCACATTAACAAAAATAAGTGCTAGATAATCACCTTTTCTGTACTTTCTAAGAAATCATTTTACCCTTTTAGTATGGCAATGGTAGCAAGTAATAACTAAATGAAGACAGATTGGCATTTTAATATTTTAACTTATCACTAAAATGTGTGCAACTACATGTACCTGTTAAAATTTGCCATTTCTTGCACAGCAGCAATATACTGGCTGGGGGCAAGGGGTGGGGGGGCAAGGGGTGGGGGGGCAGAGAGAGATCTTTGCCCCTGTTGTGAGAGAAATAACTTGAGTCATTGATTCCAAGTTACTCCACACAGTATGACAGTTTGCAGCCACTAATGTGAATTAATAATTGTCCAGTTATAACCCTCCAAAGAACCAAATCTTTTCCCGTGGAGACTGAATAGTAAAATTGGCTTACTTATATAATGTAAGGCCTTCCAAGGGTAGTTGTAACTTCAACCAGTTGACCTGTAAAGTTACTGTAATGTCCTCTTGAAAGATGAACTATCATAAGTTACTGTGAGCCTCCTTTCCAATCACAAGTCCTGAACTTTACAAACAAAATAGCCTGAATTATAGGTATTGTAAGTGTTTAAAGTTATATAAAGAGAAACAGTTACTATAGCATTTTCTCAGTGTGCCCAAATTCTCTTGATTTATTCTCTTTCAGCTGCTGTACTGAAATATGAAAACAATATCATGAACATCAGACAGTTTAACTGCTCTCCACACCCCTATTGGCTTCCAAACTTTATGGATGTCTTCACATGGTCTTTGCCTTTTGTTGGGGAGAAAGGTAGGAGAAATAAGTCACCCAGACCTTTCTATGCCTAAATCAGTGATTAATCACAAGATGATGTGTATTCATAGCCCCTGGCTCATGTAGAAATGTACAAATAATTCAATATTGGAAATTGGGGGTTTTTATTTGTTTACTGTGTATTTTGGATATATAAAGTATGTTTTAGTTGATTCTTAGTCATAATTATAATGGATTATATTTGATTTATTTAAAATAGCTATTTAAAGGAGTAACTCCAGTTTGATCAAGTATTAAAAGTAGTACAGTCCCTACAGGCATTGAACTTGGGAGTCAGTATACCTAGGTTCAGATTTTCTTTGCTTGCCTCTTGAGCTACATGGCCTTGCACATCATTTACCCTTAACTTCAGTTTTCTCATCTGTAAAATGGGGATTATAATAGTAGTAATTACTAACATTTATAGAGCACTTTTGAGTTTTGCGAAGTATAATTCCTTCACAGGGTTGTTGTGATAAAAAATTTCTATCAACCTAAGGTGCCATAGAAATATAACAATATAATTATTGTTGTATTTTTAGAATTGTGTTGTTGGATTTGATGTAACTACACAAGCATAGTCCTTTTGGCAAGTTGATTGTAAAATGAAATTTTTTCTCTATGTGCAGATCAGTGTAAGGTATTCTGAAAAATTAACCAGCAAATTATTGAATAATTTGTAGATTCTTTGAGAATTCTGTAATGAATCAAATGAGATATTTGGCCTTTAATTATAAAGGTTTACTTTATAATAAATATATATATATAATATATAAATATATAATATGACAGATTACTGGAGCATCTGCATAAGATACTTAATTTTAGGGTTTCCTTCACATTAGGATAAAATAGCTAGAAATAACTTTGCTGAAATTACAAACAATAAGTTGTCCCTGAAAAAGAAATATAAGAAGACACCTCTCCTCACTCCTTTACAAAATCGCAGGGTCTACAGGTGTGGGAAATTGCATACTATGTGAAGTTTTTTACAATGTATTGATGAATTTTACTAATTTTAAAAAATACTTTTATAAAGGATGGCATTTTGGGAAGGGTAAAGGAAGGGATACAGGACACGAATCTAGGTGATAGAAAAACAAAATTTGTCAATTAAATCTATTAAATAGAAAGATAATTCTGTTCCATGTGTTTGTATATACACATGTTCTTTTAGAGAAAATATATTTTTAAATGTTTACGTTTTCCTTTCTTTTTTATCCCTTCACATAGTCACGGAGATGCTGGTTAACATTCTCAACATATGCTCTGATGATGAGTTGATTTCAGATGGTGACGAAGCATTGGAAGGTAAACTTGGATTGTCTTTAACAGGAGCCAAGGTGGGGGATATTGGATTTTAAAACTAGGTTAAGGTTCGTGCCCACGGCTCATGATCTGATTCTGACAAGTTAGCCCCTGAAGATTTGAGTATTTATAGTCAGTCTTGTTTCTTGAACTACTATTCTCTTTAGGTCTTTTTGAAATCACAGTGAAGTTCCATAACATCTATATGAAGAGAAATAAGAAATTGCTTCATGTTGTTAGGAAGTGTGCTCCCCTTTATAGAGAGGGAACACAGAAGACCTGCTGTTTGTTATACAAGTGCTTTCCATTGTTTTTCAGTAGTGGAGATGGATTGCATGGAGCTATCCATACCCCTTCCAGACACACATATTTGTACATTTGGGTTAAACTTGAGAGGGACCACAGAACTGGGTTTTACATTGTGCAAAGCTCACTGGTTCAACCTGGTAGCGGGATTTTGACTTTGGTCTTAATTGTTTGATGTTTCAACTAATTTAAGCAAACTGGTTGAGACTTGATTGTAAAAGCACCTAGGGTGCTGTGTTTAGTTTAGCTCTCTTCTCTTTCCCTCGTTCTAAAAGCATGTGACTTCCGGGATGAGTCCAGATTATAGTCTTTGCTGCTGTTTCTCCCTACTGCATATACTTTAAATTTATGAACATTAAGCTTATCTACTCTTTCCCCCCTCCCCTGCTCATTACCAACATTATTCAAGAAATAACACCCTCTTGGGATTTCATTTAATAGTGTTATTTTAATGTTGTGTGGAGGTAGAAAGCTTATTGGAAGATCTCAGACCGATTTACATAAATCTAGAAAGTCTTAAAGGGAAAGACTAACTGGCAAAGCATATGTAACTAGGAAATCTGAAATTTGCTATCCTACCACATTACAAGAAAATGTCTCTTGTGAGCTGCTTGTCCCATTTCCTCTTGACTTTTTTTTTCTCCCTCCCATAAAAACTTAAATTTCTCTTCTCATATTTCTATCTTCATTCCTTGTTTCTTGGTGTCTCTTCTCCCTGAAGATCACTACATTTCAAGCTATCAGAAAGGTACCCAAATAGAATGTGCTAATAGCTTTATACATGCTGCCTGTACCACTAGAACCCATGGATGGATTTTTTTTAATAGTTGATAACTGAATAATTGAAGCATACTCTTCATCCTTTTTCATCCCTTTTTTATTTTAACATAAATGCTTTGTATGTGTGAATCCTGCTGTGGTTCTTTAGGATATCGAAAGCTGCAGGGGTGGTATCACATTTCTGTTTCTGACTTCTGAATGCGGTAACCTGCTGCATGCCTGGACCTTCAGTGCATGTTCGATCTGAAGTTTGGCTTGTAATGCGTGAGTTATTTCATGAACCTCAGAAGACAGAAGAACATAAGACCTTGCACTCTTTTTTTTGTTGTTTTTTTTTTTGCTTCAAAAAATATCTTCCACACATTCCGCTCTTCTCCCACAATTTTGTCTGTACAGTTGTCAGTAGTGTAAAAGATCTTACCAATTCACTTGTAAATGGGGATTAAAGAAATAAAGGCACTCCCACCAAGTTCAGGATAGCCATACATTTTGTTTACATGCAGAAGAACCTGCTTGAATGATTGCTTGCCATTTGGCAGGCACAATCTTGCATCCCAAGATGTCCATCAGCAATCAGACAGGAGAACTTTGTTTTACCAATTGTCTTTGTGTATTTTGAGGTGTGTGCTTCCGTATGTAAATGTGTGTTACATTGTTTTATTATGTGGTATCCTTTGACTGTTAAGTTTCACCAAGGGGATCTTACCTGAGACAAACCCATCCAGTCTTTCTTTCTTTTATTTTTGTTCCTTCCCCTTTTTAAAAAATCTCATCGTTTCCTGTTATTTTGTTTCTTGCTCTTTCAGATTCTGATTTCCTTAGCACTTACCAGGATTTTAAATGTTCAAATAACTTAAGATTTAATTTCTCTTTTTATTTTTAAATTTAAGGCAAGATTCTTCACACTGACCTGTTTTTTTTTTTTTTTTTTTTGAAGCAACCTGTTGGCCCTAAAAAAAAAAAAAAAAGATCTTTTAACTCAGTTGATCTTTCTGTTCTCAGTAGGTGCATCAGTTCGTAAGGAGATCATCAGAAATAAAATCAGGGCTATTGGAAAGATGGCACGAGTGTTTTCAATTCTTCGGTAAGACTTCAATTGTAACATGTAGTAGAAAGAGACGAGTTCAAATTTGATTAGTAAATCCAAACAAATTGAGTTGGGCCATTTTTATTTCTTTTTTATGTTTCGTAAAATAAAGTTTTCATTGCATTCATGGTTATAATGATAAAGCAGTATTTACCCCCTTGGGTATATAATTGCCTTGGAACTAGTAAAATATACCTGCCACATTTATTACCACAATTCCTGTCCCCTAGTTTCTTTAGAAATATATTATAAAACTTATGTTTTCTGAAATAACAAATAAATACTTCAAATATTTCTTTTCTATAATGTAGTTGCCATTTTTAATGAAATTTGGCTTTAACGTGGCAATTTTTGTTTTTTTCCAAGAGCCTTAAAATGGAATTCTAGATATAATATTCTCAAAATAATACCACAGTAGACTGTAAATCCATGTTTCATATTTTGTGGGAGTGTTTTTCGTATGTATGAAATTGTGTTTTTTGGGTAATAACGTGGCTTTCCTGGCTTTCACAAACACAAAAGCTGGGGGTGGGAGTGGAGTGGGGTGGCATGGTACAGTCTATTATAAGAAATCTTAGAAATCAATTTTAGAATTACCTTTTTTGAACTAGAGGTTAATGTCAAAATAGAATCCTTCAGTGGTCTAGGTCTCTAATTTAGATCAGACCCCCATGACGAATTAAGTAAAAGCATACTAACATACGTGTTTATATAGCCCTCATCAGATGTCTTTATTTGTATTGTATGGACTTGCTATTGCTTAATTGACCGTAAAATGTTTTACTAAAAGATACTGTTTTTAGGAAATGAAGGAAGGGAAGAAACTGCTTCCTCCATTCCTTTTTAGGGAATGAAGATAGAGGAAGGAATATTCCTCTCTTCAGTGCTGCCCTCAAGTTTTTCTCTGATGTGCTGAACAGGATATTCCCAAGAGTTAACCGAATATTTTTATTCTTTTCTAGAGAAGAGAGGGAAAGTGTGCTGACTCTCAAAGGGCTGACTCCTACAGGTACACTACCTCTGGGTGTCCTCTCAGGAGGAAAGCAGACCATCCAGTTAGGTGAGTGTAGGAGAGGTAAACGTCCCTTCCAGGAAGGATAGAATCCTACTTCCAACCATGGCCATGTAAAACAGAAGCATCTGGATTTCTCAGCCTGGAAGTTATAAATCTTTTCCATAATCACTTTCCTGATGTCCTTCTGAAGAGTTTCTTTATCTTCTGGCAGCCAGATTCTTCTCTGTGGCTAAGAATGTTTCTTTTGCCACAGCACCAATTCTAAAGGTCTAGGGGAGGTGTCCTCTAAGGAGAGTTGCTGTATGAGGTCTTAGAATAAAAAGGTTAAGACTTGGTAGAAGTAAATAAATCTAGACTAGATAGGGAGAAAGACATCAGCTAATATTATTGGATGTCTATTGGACGTGAGAACTGACAATGAATAGGGTCCCGCCTTGGACATACACATAGCTGCTTGTTTTTACCCGACTTTAGTTTTATTCAAACTTGTCCATTTAAGATTTGCTTATCTTAACTGCCTCCTATATGCAACTCTTACCACAGAAGTTCCATTGTAATGGGCTAGTAGGAATTATAATTATCTGAAATTTTTTTAAATATAGAATTGAATTCTTCATCCTTAAATATGATAGTGGTGTACCATAGCTTAGATATGTGAGTCTTTTTTGATCATCTACAGTTTGCTTGTTTAATTTGAAAGTTGGTTTGAAATGCCCAATAAAACTACTTTTTTCCCCTCTAAACAACTATAATTTTTCATTGAACAGATTTGTAGGATGTAAAGATTGAAGGGTTTTTAGAGATCCTCTTATCCACCCCCTCATTTTTCATATAAGTAAACTGAGACCTAGAGAGGTGAAAGGACTTACCCAAGTCACTTAACACATTTTTTAAGGAGCTAGGATGTGAAACCAGGTCCTTTTACTGGAAATCCAGTGCTCTTTGCTCTACATCACAGCATCTCCAGTAAGGATTTAGTTTTGTTTTGTTTTGTTTACATTTGGAATACAAAGAAATTAATTTAGTGATGAAAAAGATAAGCAGGGGGGAAAAAAGAGAACAATTATAAGCAGCCTTGCAGAAAAAAAGATTGGGAATTTAGTGGCCCATGAAGCTTTCTCTAGTATTTTTTGTTTTGATTTCAAACAAATTGAGTCTCCTTTAGACAATATACATAAAATAAGATTTTCTTTTCTACTGAGTGAAGAAGCGTGACCATCTCCAAGTCTAGATTTTAATGGCAATTAACATTTTATGGTCTTATTATTTTGCTAGTTTCTTTATCTGCCATGTGTTTGTAGCCTCAGATGTGCCCCCTTCCTAGAGATTGCTTTTTACATAAACATTGGGCTGCCTGAGTTGATGTGAGCCTTGAGGATATTGTAAAAAAGATCTATTGTATAGGAAAATAGTACTGTAGTTAAAGCTAGGGCATTTGAAGAACTTATTACTCTCTCTGTAATTAGCAAGCCAGAGTCTTTTTTCTCTACCAGCTCAAGCCATTTGCAAACTTTGGTATCACCAACTAGAGCTTGTCATTTTTATCATATCCTTATCTGAGCAGCTTTGAACAAACAGCACCCTACTTTAACACATAGCACTATTTACCCACCACTTTAATCAGACCAGTCCCGTGTGGATTCAGACAGTGTGGAAAAAGACTCCAGCAGAAGGCTACTTTCTATAATGCCATTTTCACTTCATAACAGAAATAGAAAGTTGTAACTGTATTGCATTGTCAATGGGAACAATAATTTTTAAATTTTAAGAGACCAGAGAAGTTAAGGCATTCCTATATTTAAGAACTAAGATTTCAAGAGCTTGTGTTTTTGGTACTTGGTATAAGCATTTAATAAGCTTTGATAAGCAAGTACCATATATTTTATTCATTTCAATGTGGATTTTCACATTGGTTTAAAAAGGAATATTAATTTTCCCAGTTTCTCTTGTTTTGTTGATTCTGAGATCATTAGATGCTGTGGGATGTTAATCAACTTATTTTCCCCTTCTTACGTATATAATAAATAAAAGGCCCAATTTTCCTCGTATTCTGTGTCCCCTAGCACATCCCAACAACTTTAGTGGTTCACAGTTGTTACTTCCTCCAGGAACTCTAGTTTGTTAATGCTGAATTTTAAATTATCGCCCTTTTCCATCACAATGAGGGAGCAAAAGACTTTCTTGGCATTTAGTCAGCCCTCTTACACAGTGATTAGAAACCATGTGGGTTTGAAATGTCAGCTTCTCTTATGCTTCAAACCCAGAGCATACCACGAATTTACATCACCACCTGAATAGCCAGAGAGAACAGCTCCTATTGGTAACTCGTTTCTTTCCTTCCAAATGCTGCTCTGTTATTTGAGGGCAGGCCTGTTTGAGTGAGAAGACAACAGTTAGATTTTCTACAGGTGACTTGGTGTAGTCTTTCCCAGGCCTTGGGTTCAACAGTACTCCATTTAGAGACCAAGAAGGAGTCACTTTTCCTTTATCTGTTTGTTGAATTGGAACACAGGGGTTCATTTAACTTAAGGTAAACTATACACATTGAGACATTTCTAGATTATTTGAAAATAATTTAAAACATTTACTTGACAGACCTCAAGACACAAATGCACAGTTGTTCATTTCTTTTCCTTAGAGTCTTCAGAGTGGGGTGATGACCCTGTTTTTTATTTCTTGTAATCAGTATTTGAGACCAGTAGCTTAATCATAAGGAATGTTGGTAATAAAAGTTTCCAAAAAGTTTTAAATATTAAGAAAATTATAGCTAACCAAATTCTAGCTCATCCACTCAGTATTCCTTTTGCTTCTTTTTCCAATTGGTCTTTATTATTGACAGGAAAGGATGGATGGGTGGATGGATGGATGGATGGATGGATGGATGGATGGATGGATGGATAGACGGATAGATAGATTGAAGGATGGAAGATGGGAAGCTGGGGTTTCAACATTGGCAGCAAAGCTGTCAGCTTACTCACTCTTTTTCTGTCTTCATTTTGCATGCCACTGCCCTTGCTGTTTTACAGCCACAATAGAAGCTGTAGAGGCACAGGAAGGTATGGCTAGAATCATCCAAGAGCTGTGATCATTTGTTTGTCTTCTAATTTTAAAAAGCTTTTTTGACGTTTAAGATACTGTCCTGTTGCATCACCAGAACTGGAACAGTGAGGAAAGGAGCAGAGGCTTCTCTGGAAAAGCTCATAAAATGAATTTTCTTTGGTGGCCTGCGTCTATAGTAATTGAATATAATCCTCAAAAGAGATATAGTCTTACTGGGTCCTTTATCAATATTAGTGTAATTGCAGAAGCTTGAGTGTCTGGGCAGCTGTTTCTGCAAGTGAAATCTCTAGTGTCTCATCTGTTATCCCGAGGCCATGTGTTTAGTGCTATTATCCTCTAAACGGCTTCTGGGAAATTCTTCTACATCAACCCTTTAACTATATATCTCTCAGACTTTTAAGAGCAAAGGCAAAATAAATGGAAAAAATACTGATTGATTCATGAACTTACCCCAGCATTCAAGATAATCTTTCTCAGTATCAAAGAAAATAAACTAAATTGAATTGGAAGTATTAGTAAAGGTATATAATTTTAGATAGATTTTTTTAAAATCCTTTAATTTGGAAATTTTTAACAGTTAAACTAATAGAAATATAAAGAAGCCATTTTGTCGGCTCTTAGCCGTCTCATTTAAATTGCCAAAATTGTGTTTGGCTCCTGGTTGTGAAAGATAAAATCACTTTTCTGATCCGAAATTAGCTCTTTTCTTACCTTTGTATCATCATGTATGCTGTTTGTGTTTTAAAGTAACTGCCCTGTGTTTAACTTGTCGCTACCATTTTTTAAGACCATTGAGCACATTTCTGGCCTATAAGCAACCCTTTCCCAGACATATTAAGAGCAAAAAAATTTGTCAACCTTTCACCAGATTTGTGACTGCCACTGATTAATTCATTCAAATTTTTAGAAAAATTGTTTTCACCAGTTCAAACACCTTTGGGCCTTTAAAGATGCTTCTGACAAGGCAAATAAAGCTGGCCTACTTCCTCGTGCCTTTTTCCCCCTCCACCAGACATGTGCTCGGGAGCTCCTTGTGTGTTGTTCTTCAAGAGAGTTTGGTGTGTGGCCAAGAGGCTGTTTTTCAAGCCCCCACGTTGTTGCAAACTAAAATTACTGTTCCTGTTCTCTCTAGCCATCCGAGGGTTTTCACCCCCACACAAGATCCGAAGCTTTGAGGAAGCTCGGGGCCTGGACCGGATTAACGAGCGCATGCCCCCCCGCAGAGATAAGTCCTATCCTGATGGACCGGTGGCAGTACCGATGAATTTGGTGTCGACCACAACCCGTGCGGTGAACAAAGGTGACACAGCCAAGAAAAGCCAGTAATGGCTCCAAGCAGCTGCTGTGCTACCACTAATGGATCCAGAACTCAAAAACACATTTTATTTATTTATTATTGGAAAACAAAAACAAACTGAAACCTGGAGGCACATTCATGATGCAGTCTGCCTTTATTCTGTAAGAAAGGTGACCATTTTGTACATTTTTTTAATTTATGTTCAATATAAAAAGTCCCATCTTTTTTTTTTCCTTTTTCTTTGTAAAAATTTTTAGAAATTGGTCTAATTGATGGTATACACATGAAGTATTGTGTTGTAAAGGTGATACCTGTCCACTACTCCTCCATCCTTTGTATAAGAGGGCCTTTGGAAACGACAACCCTGAGTTTCTGATTTGAACCAGTCAGCTAGTCCTCTCATTTTTGAAAGGGACATCTTTCATTTAAGCTCTACTACTTTTTTGCCTAGGTGCATCTGCTTCTTTAGACATCTACTTCTTGGGAAGGTCTGATAGATTATGGTAAGCTAAACCTGTTTCTCTGATTGTGGAAAACTTGATTGGGGTTTAACTTTAAAGTAGATAACTCCAATCCTAGAAGTAGCTTAAAGTCCAAAGGGTGTGTTTACCATAATGGCCTACTTTCTTCTGGACTCCAGTTCCTTTTACTGTAATCCTGTGGAGCACAAATAATAATCATCATCATAATAAAGGATACTCTTAGGATTACTTAAACTTGTCAATTGAAATACAAGCGTGATTGGTTAAGACTTCCCTTAAGATTTTGGGAGGGAGAAGTTTCTAGAAAATCTCATATAACTACCTGTCACTGAATGCTTTCAGACATCTGCTTCCGTTTTTATGCTCCACGTGAGTTGCTCTCCTCCTTCAATGAAGAAACAGTATTTCTAAATGTTTTTAAATGCCCTCTTCAAAACATTTTTACAACTAAAATCCTTTTCTCTATTCCATCACTGTCCTTTTCTTCTCTGTCCCCCTTCTGGGCATCCTCCTTTATTTGTTTCTAACATTTTCTATATTTCTGATGAAAACTGGGACAGTGGAAATTGAATCTAGGGTTGCAGGATCCCCCTATGAAATGTAAACTTGGACAAACAACTTTGGTTTGGTGAAGTTCAAACAGAGATTTTATCAGACTCTGAATTGACCACTTGACCATTTTACTATTTTTCATAACCCTTGATGAGTTGAACTCTATGTGATCATCATTAATATTTATTGGAACTCAAGGGCAAGAGTTGATATCATAAGCAGACGGCTTTTTCCATCTGTCTGTACTTGTGTGACTTTTGAGTTCATCATCAACTGGTAAACATATTTTACAGGATCCTTCAAGTTTCTATTTTTGGCTAAAAGAATGGTCTCTGGTGTCTTGCTTTAATACTATTACTCAGCCTTGCTGATGGATACATTCTCATCAGTGCTTAAAAAATGAAAATTTCAGAAATTCCTTAGTCTCATACTTTGAGTCAGTGTCACCTCAACATGGATGCAAGTATCTTACATAATAATAATATATGTTGGCAGTTTTGAGGATTTCAAGAGCAGGTGGGAGAATACAAGGAAACTCCTTACTTTCATTAGACAGTGCCCTGTTTTTCCCCCTAATATTTGTACTGATCATATCCAGTTTTCTCCTTTATGACAATCGAAGATCATCAGGATGTATTTGACAGATAAAATGCTGTGGCATGGATTTTTCTGCTGGCGTGAAGATGATAGAAGTAGTGTAAAAAGGGAGATAAAGAGTGTCTCTGTCTCTGATTTAGAATTTTGTAAAGGAATTGGGGGAGGACACTTGAAAGCAATATCTTTTTTATATCCTTTGAGGAAGTTGATCAACTGGACAATCCTCATACCTTTTTTCACAATATTGGAAAGGATCACTGTCTTTGGGAAAGCTCAACTAATAAAGTCGGAAAATACAATGAGAGATCATATGTATTTGAAAATGAAAATCATTCACCCTTCCTCTCTAGTTCATTAGGATCATAGCCACAGGAAATTCACCCCCCAAAAAAGAGTGAGGGCCCTAAGTCATTGGGTAATAGTTACTGCAAGTACTGCACCTGCCCTTTTTGAAGAGGGTACCATGAATTGGGAGTCATTCTGTTGCCAGTTTTCATTGATAGAGCTTAGTGGTAGTGATCTCTACTCAGATCTCTGATTCATTCCCTGGTTAACAGCAACGTGAACATATGAGAAAAAGATCTGAGTGAGTTCTTCAGCTGTTTTGGAAATTATAGTGGCTTCTGAATGAAGAGATATGTGAACTTGATAGAATATTGAAGGTAATTTTTTTTGTGTTATACTCTGAAGACTGTAGGGCAGAGCCAGGGTGAGGTTGGGTATAGGATTTCTTTTTTTAAAGTAGTACAAATAGTTTTCTATAAAGTAGGGATCTCAGATAATTCATGTGCTGGTATACACAATTTCACTTTTAACCATAACAGAGTTGTAGATCAATAACTTGGGGAAATTTTTAGTGAATAGGATTTTCTCTTCACTCCATATTTTACTCAGGACGAAAATACATTTAAAATTTCCATCTAAACAATTGCTCCCAAACAGACCAAATGGTTTTTTGCTTTGATTTTTCTCATACTATCAGTTTGTTTCTCGAACTAGTATTCAAACAATCCAGAAATCATGGCTCCATCACTCTCTTCAGGGTGGTAGCATTGCTCTCCTGTTTTGTGACTGTACCAAGAATGCTTCCCTAGCAGACTCCAGAAGAGGTGAACAGACTTCCTTTTGACTTCTCTCGCCCTGGAAGAAATGTCATTAGCTTCATCTCTCCAGCCAGGCAAGGTCTCCTTTGTCTTTCTGAATTATGTGCTTTTAAAACTGAAATATCATATGGATCAAATTCTCCTTTTGGTTCTGTTCACAATCTATGAAAGATCAAGTTTGAAACAAATAAATGCTTTTTAAATAGAGTTGTATGCCAGGATAAGAACAGCCCAATTTTTTCTGAAAATGTGATAAAGATAATAGCTCCTCTTCCAGGTGGACACATAGGGCAGCTAACTATGTGGTGACCAGAAGGCTTCTTTTAAAAGAGGGGGAAAAGGTATCAGATGTTTATGACTTTGGAGGCCTGGTGTCAATGAATATCAGTATTTTCCATAACTCCCATATATATATTTAGAACTTGTCAGCTTTGGAAGTGTCCTTACCATCTCCCCCCTCTCTAAGTGAGTTCAGAAACACCAAGATTGAAGCCCCTGTAGCTCTAACGACCTTCATGGACTAATGAACCTCAAAAGCCTACAACAAAAAGATACAAACTTCACTTAGTATAGCGGTGAGTATATATGCATCTAGTGGTAATTACCTATCAGCTTCTATTACCTCTCAGGGTGTAGTAAGTATATTTGGAGTCTGTCCCCTCTGACCCATCTTTATTGTATGTAAAATTACAATTTATGTCCAAGGTTTCTGACTGGTTACTGTTTAGACTTTTAAGTATTAACTACCCCCTTGAACAGGAGAAACCAGCATACTATTAGGTAGGACTTAAGTGGACACTATCATCAGACTTGTTTAGGAAGGAACGGCTTTCACTAAGAAGACATCATTTGAATGCTAGAACTAACCTGACATGCTGCCCAGAGCCGGAAGGCTGACCGATTCATAGATTTCCTATGTGCAAATTATCAGGTGTTTCCCTCTCTTCTCTGTGATGGAAATTTATTCACTATTCCACATAGGCCTATTGAGATAATATCCTGGTATTTCCCAACATTGGTTCTAGTTGCTATGGTAACACTAAAACCTAAGTTCCTTCTCTTTCAAAACATTCTTTGCCCCACCCAAATTAGACAAGAGTTTCAGAGGGAGGGATGAGCTATAGGACCTGGAGTAGTAGGTATGAGGCTAAATTTTACTAATATCAGTAGTTGTAACCATGAAGCCCTGCTTTGTCTGAAAGTCAGGTATACCCCGAATCTAGAGTTCCTACTGTAAAAGGGAATGTGGATACATACATGTCTTTAGAATAGAGAGCAACCCATGAAAGACAACTATCTCATTCTCTTTGTACTTACTAGCTGTTTACACACACACACACACACACACACACACACACACACTCTCTCTCTCTCTCTCTCTCTCTTTTTCTCTCGGAATAAGGAGAGAAGTTTTCCATAGCAACTAAGAGAATAATATTGAAGCATTCTGCTATTTGTTAGCCTCTTCATTATTAACTCTCTGTAAACTCCCCCAGAGGAAGCCAAGGAAAGAAGGAATGGGCTGTGCAGAGAATTTCGGGTTATCAGGTAACAACAGAGAACTTTATTGACTATAGGTCATTGGGCCATTGACAGTATGTGTAAAAAGCAGCCTGCCTATATCATTTATCAAGAATTGTAACCATCCTATATCTAGCCAGAGAGAGAATAAGGGAATAGTCTGTTTGTTTAAGAAAAATAAACACTGTCCATCTTCTCATACCCAATTACAAAAGTTACATGGTTAATGCCTGCCTTCACTGGGTACAAGATTTCTCATAGGACAAACTCAAAGCTTTATGTCTCTCCACAGCCTGGGCAAAGAGGACTATTTGTCAAACTTTGTTGAGAGTGGTTCTGGGGTTCCCTCCTTCAAACCCTCAGGATAGTCTTCTTGGCTTAAGTGATTTATTTATACCTACACACAACCTCACCATTGCCAACAAACGGCACTTTAAAGTCTGTCCCTTTCCCCCTCGGTCCCTCTCAAAGTTCCCTAAATCTGTCTTTTTGCATGTTATAGCAAAGTGCATGTAATAGGGAGGGAGTTTACAATGGGGCTTGGGGAACAAAGGTACATTTTTATATTCTACCAGAAAACCTTTACAGTGATGCCATCCTGAATAACTTTCTTGTCCTTTCCCCGTGTACTATGATCAGCAGGAATTTTTTTCCAGTAGACTTTTCAGCCAGCTCCGTCCCAAGGGGATCCTGAATTTACCTGCCTGAATAACTTGGTTAGAACACAAGAGACTAGGTAGTGATACAAGTATTTTTTAAGGTTCTCCTGAATAATGAATTATATGCCTGTTCCCCTGGAGATTGCCTCCTTTTTCCTGCTTTTTTGTTATATTAATGACAATGGTGGAAAAATGTTATTTATTGGCAGAAATATTTAACAATTTCTTTTTTGCGAAAAAGGAATGAATTTGTTAGAACTGTCTTACTGTAAATTGGAAGTCATCTTCAAGGGGAAAAAGAAACACAAAAAGATTCCCATTCTTAAGATTAAACAACTTTATTGGCTTCTGGTATCTTTATTTTTTTTTTTCATTCCGTGGTTCAGGCCCTGAAGTTTGGCTTCTTATCCAATTTATCATTCAGGAAGTTGAAAGAAAGCCTAACCTTTGAAGTCTGAAAAGCTGATCTGGTGGCACTCCCAAGGAATTCCCTGCACAGGGCAGAGAGTTCAGCAATGTTTCTGGATCAGAAATGCCCTGGGGCTTTGCATGGCTTCCCCAGTTGTCCTACAGTGACTTTTCCATCACAGTCCAAAGTCCCTTCTTCCTTCACCTGGCTCTAACAGTGCCCTTTTCTTCTCCTCTGACCTGAACCAGTTCCACCCCTTCCCCACCCACCACTGGATCACATTACATACATGTGTCCTCTGATGTGCCTTCACCAGCAGAGGCCACTATTATAAAAAAATCATAGGTCCTTAGGCCTTCCTGATAGTGGTGAAAAGGATTCTTATATTTGAAGATCAATGAAAAACACTGTGTGATCTTGGGAATGGATGTTTAAAGTGACCAGATTTCAGACATGCTAATGCAGAACAAGACCTGTTCCTACATCCTGGAAAGAAACCAGATTAGAAATTCATGTTAACTAATCTGAAGAGGTAGCCAGGACCAACTTTTGAACTTCCTCAAAAAAGTAAAAATAGGGTTGTCATTGTAGCAAGCATGGTGTCCCCTGAGTAAAAAAGAGGAGGTTGGGGGGACTAGTAGGATTATTGAGCAGGGGCTTTCATGGTGGGTGTCATATAAAGGACAGCATTGCAGGTAACAGAATATTAGAAGGCACTCTAGCAGTGCCAGGTTTTGAGAGGTACAATGCACTTGAAATTTTGGTCCAATTCTAACATCATTACTGGCTGTATGGTTTGAGGCATCCTGACTGATGTTATTGTACCTCAGTCCTTCTGTAAAATAGAACTAATAATAGCTAGCATTTATGTAGTGCTTACTATGTGCCTGCCAGGCACTGCCAAATGCTATACTATTATTATCTCCTTTGGTCCTCACAACAAGCCTGGGAATTAGGTGCTATTATTATTCCCATTTTACTGGTGAAGAAACTGAGGCCGGCAGTTTAATTTGCCCAGGGTTACATAGCTAGTAACCATCTAAGGTTGAATTTTAACTCAGGTCTTCCTCAATCTAGGATCAGTGTTCATTCTCTGCCTCATTTCTCTTTAAGCCTTCATCACTGAATGGGCTCTGCCTCAGTCAAACTGAGACCTTTTAAAAAACCTTAGCTTGAAAAAGCCAAGGACCCCCATTGCATCTGGGGCCATCTCCAGTTGCCCTGGTCTGTATCTGGCCACCGGACCCAGATGGCTCCAGGGGAGAAAGTGAGGCTGGTGACTTTGCACAACCCTGCCTCACTTAATTCCAGTTCACTTGCAAGTCATGGCATCACCTCCCTGTTGTCATAGTCCTCTTCCAGAATGAAGGACAGACAACAACAATCTTATCTACTTTGTCACTACCCAGCTGCCTGTAATATAAATAACAATTATTTTATTTGCCTAGACCCTTCCCTTTCCTGTTGTTATAAACTAGTAAAGACAATTATAAAGGCAGAAACCACAAATGCAAATTCCACTTTTCCCTGTTCCCTTTAATACTGAATCAAACCCCACCTTGGCTATGAATATAGAGCTGTATGCTGTTCCTTGCAGCTTCCTGTGTTGAAA